TCTTAAAACTTATAAATTGGCTGAAAAAAACAACACGCTGGTCCATGGGCGCCCACAGAAAACTTTCTAGAGGGGGAGGAGGGGCAAGAAATCGATTAACTTTCCAAGGGGGGGGGGGCAACAATTTTTTAGTAATGCTTTAATATAGTTTTAATGTACTGTAGCGTATTTGTTTGGTGAACTAACGGACAGGACATCAGCTTAGTTATTTTCTCTTTACTTTAATAAATTTTTTGTCTATTTTTGTCTAAAAAAAATTTATCCAATCAATCCAGGGGGGGGGGGCAAGTGCCGCCCCTCTGCGGGCGCCCATGCACTGGTCATAAAGCCACATGGGCCAACCTGGCATATGTGGAGCGGCAAATCTTACTTTTTTAAAAATTATAAATATAAAACCTTGAAACTGACAGTGATGTTTAATTTTCTGTTGCGATGGATTTATTCTGTCGAAATATTGCCCCAAGCCTTCAAACCCCTAGTGCATGATTCCCTCAGAAAGTGGCACTGGAAATCAGTGAAATTTCCTCATCAACACCAGGAACAGAAACATTGCAAATCCCATCTACATGCATAGGAGCCAACATGATCAACACAATGGTCGTGGGCCTTTAAGATAGAGAAGAAGAAGAAGAAGAAAGATTTCACTTGTATAAATGTAAACGTTTCATTGTAAATTATGTTTAAGAATTATTTTTGACGGATTGTGACCCTTTGGGGGGGGGGGGGGGGAGATTAAACAGTGTCTAAAAATAGCGTGACATACTCTATGGACGGCCCCCATATAGAGTACGATGATGCAGTAGGCCTACGCTGGAAACATTGACCTGTATCCACCACTGCATTGTCAATAGTTATCTATTTTATTTATTTATAACTGATAACCTTAGGTGATAATCATTGCTAGGTCCATTGCATATGAAAAAAAATTTAAATCTAAGGGCATTCCTTGGCATTCATCTCTTCTTCTTCTATTTCCCTTGCTAAGGCGGTGTTGGTCAACCGACGGCCAGGTTTCCAGGCAACCCGTAGCTTAAACAAGACACCACGCAAATGCGCGTTGTCAGTCCGTGCTCTTCGTGTGTACAGTCATTGTATGTGACGTCACAAGATTAATGACGGTTGCTACCTTGCTAAAGCCCGGAGTCAGAGAGCAGAATACAAACAATGACAATGGTTAAGTAAACACATAGGGGTCGTACGTCGAAGGAGAAAAAAGACGATTAAAAAAACAAACATGATCCCAATTTCTTGAAAATATTTAAGGATACATCGTCTACTTTCTGTCATTATTAAATTTATAAATCTACTTATTTATTATTATATAAATATATATATTAATTCACAATTTTTAGGGCCATATAAAAATAGGGGTAGATAGTGGGGAGTGGGCGATCAAAGCGAACAACCAGCGCAGAGATTCGCAGTGGTCTATATCGACCCCCAGGGGTCGACGACAACTTGCAAGGGGTCCATGTCAGCGAAAAAAAAATTAGGGGTCCATGAAATGAAAATGGGGGTCAACGATAGTGGATCTCCTTTAAGCAGGTCGTGACTTCTATTTTGGCATTCCATGAATGGAATTATTTACATACACAGATAGTACGTGTTTAATTACATAATATGACCTTATAATATAAAGACATACAGGGTGGGCCAATAAAAGTGAGAACATTTCGTAGCGTAATATTTTACGAGATGTTCTCACTTTTATTGGCCCACCCTGTAGACCTTCCTACATAAATTATAAAAGAAACTATGAAGTAAACATTTTAAAAACATAAATGTTCATGAAACGTGATGAAGATTTAAATATACCTAATGACTTAAATTTTAATTTAACCAAGCAACAAATCTGCGTGATCTTGCACGCAGATAAAGTTGGAGTTCTAGCTAGCTAAAGAGTTGACACAGATGGAGGTCTAGCTAGCTAAAGAGTTGACACAGGCGGAGGTCTAGCTAGCTTAAGAGTTGACACAGATGTAGGTCTAGCTAGCTAAAGAGTTGACACAGATGGAGGTCTAGCTAGCTAAAGAGTTGACACAGGCGGAGGTCTAGCTAGCTAAAGAGTTGACACAGATGGAGGTCTAGCTAGCTAAAGAGTTGACACAGGCGGAGGTCTAGCTAGCTAAAGAGTTGACACAGGCGGAGGTCTAGCTAGCTAAAGAGTTGACACAGGCGGAGGTCTAGCTAGCTAAAGAGTTGACAC